GCTGCCATGTCTGAAAAGAACCTGGGCTCTACCCATAGGCCCCAAAGTAGTTCCTTTTTGGGATTACCTTTTCGGATTCTATATACGAACCCCAATAAGGAACTAATTTGGGGCCTCAGGGTAGAGTGCGCCTACTTGGCAAATAAATAGTCTTACACGCACCACGCCCTAAAGATCCCAGAGACTCCAAAACCCCTTAATTAAGGAATATTCCTTAAATCATATTCGGGATCCTGCTATAATTTAAGGAATATTCCTTAATTAAGGGGTTTTGGAGTCTCTGGGATCCTGAATACTTGAAAAAATTTAAAACCCCAGTGAAACCCATGAGCTGACCCGAGACTCTACACCCCAAACTCTAAACTCCGAAAATCGAGGGTTTAGGGTAGAATCCTAAACCTAGAAGGGGCCCCCACCCTGTAATAGAGGTATAGTAGGAATATAATAGGGCCCGAATATAATCCTTATAGTCACTATTACAGGGTGTGGGCCCTGAGAAACTAGACCCAAGAGTACAAACTCCCAGAATCTAGGGTTTAGGGTTTAGGGTTCAACCTTAACCCGAGACCTAATCAACCCTACCAAAACTAGACCCAAGAGCAACCTGGGAATGAAAAGGGTGCCCCTTTTGGGGATTAAAAGCGGCTTAGAAGGGAACCTGAACCCTTCAAAAGGCAATAACGGCCTACTCTAGGTCCTAGTTAACCCTAGACCCTAACAATCCCTACTAGTACTGGCTGGTTGTCAAAACTATGGTTCCCCTTTCTGGGTCCTTATTGGAATACGGCACCTAATATTTAGGGTGCCCAGGATTAAGGGCCACAATTTTGACAACTACCCTACTAAAATCCAAGGGTAAAAGGAGGGACCCTTAATAAGGACCCCTAGGCATATACCCTTAATATAGCTATTATAAACCCATTACATAGCCCATTATAGAGTAGGGGTCCCCATTAAGGGTCCCTCCTTTTCCCCGTTGAACTTTGACAACTACCCTACTAAAAACACCCTTGTCCTTTTAGAAAGACTAAACAGAGCCCTATACCTATATCCCTTAGTAGGACTTGTTTAAGAAGGTCTACTAGCCGGTCTGTGTATTCTTTTGGGGAAACCATGAAAAAGGACAAGGCTGACTAAACTAGGTTGGCCCCTTAAAGCCTCTGAAAAGTATTCGTAAATAGGGTCCTATTAAGCCCAATAAGGGAAAATATAAAATGTCCCAAAGGCCTACCTAGTTCACCCAATAAACCTATAATCTCTAAACCCTAAACCCCTAAATCATTAAATCCTAAACCCCCCCCAAAAAAACCAATATCTAAACGTTGAATCCTAAACCCTCATCCCCAAACCCTTAAAAACATCCAGGAGCTGCAGTGCCATTGACCATGCCCCTCCTTTCTCAACGGCGCTCAACGCCTTTGCTCTACTTGGAGGATCAGGGGACTTAGTAAGGGTTCCTTTAAGGGCTCCTTAAAGGGATCTATAGGGTTTAGGGTTTAGGGTCTACTTGGAGGATCAGGGGACTTAGTAAGTAAGGTTATAAGTCCCCTAATTGGGGCTATAAGTAGTTATAAGTATAGTTACCTTATTTAGAACCCTAGTTACTAAGTCCCATGATCCTTTAAGTATCAGCGTCCCGGTTCTGTAACGGTGCTCCTTTCTAGGGCTCTTGAGATTATGGGGTTTAGGGTGTAGGAGTTCCTTCAAGAGGTTTAGGGTGCAATACGGGATTTGGGGTGTGAAGGGCTAAGGCTTTAGGGCTTTGGGGCCCTAGACTCTTACGTTTGGTTCTAAATGGTTTCGGGTTGCAGGGTTCAGGGTCAAGGGTTCTATCAGGGATTTGGGGTTTGGCTCTGCTTGAACCTTCAGGTTCAGGTACCAGTGAACCCCAGTATTTGCAATCACGAACAGAAGTTTGGTTCTGTAAGGGTGCTATAGGGAATTTGGGGTGTTAAGGGCTAGGGTTTTGGGGCCTTAAGGCCCTATACTCTTGTACTTAGCGTGATAATCGAATCTTAAACCGTTTTAGGCTACAGTTCGTCCTTAGTTAGGGCTCACCGCCGCGAAACGAAACATCTGGGGAATTCCCTTGAGTCAGGTTACCTGGATACATACAGTAGGCTCCTTTCAGATTTCACTTCTGGCTTCCTTCCAGGGCTCATGCCAAGTTTCTTTCTGGAGTTCCTCATAGGATTTTCCTTCAGGCTTCGTGTCAAGCTTTTTTTTTCTGGAGTTCCTCATAGGATTTAGGTTCCCAGAGAACCAAGAGTCCCTCAATGAGGGAATATCCCTCAAGTCATATTGCTAAGGCCCCTATACTTTACAGTCTATTCCTTGTTTAAGGAGTATTGGGCTTTCTGGGTATATGTTGCTTCTGAACGGCCTTGGGTCGGCAAGCTGCACGCGGAAGCAACTAGAGGGATTTTGAGGACTTGAGGTTTACCCTAAGGGTCCATGTACCTATTTAGTATACACATTGGCCTTAAAGTACTCCTTATATGGGTACATCGGGCCCAAAGTATATACTAATTATTTGGGTACATGGACCCTCAGGGTTAGGGTTTCTGAGTTTAGGGCTTGAGGGCTCAGGGTTTTGGGCTTTAGGGCGTAGAGTTTTAAGGTTTGCTTAGGGCTCCGACTGGGAGCCTTATATTTGAGGGATATATGTAATAAAGGGACAATGACCTATACTATTTTGGGGGTTCCTGATGATAATTATAGTATAGTGGGCCCTAAAACCCTATTCTGATTCTTAAGGCCCCTATAATTATATTATGCAGGGTCAGGGTTTAGGGTTCCCAGGAAGTTTAAAGCACAAAGCACATCGGGTCAGCGCAGCGTGATCCCCAGCGAAAGGCATGAGACTGACGCCCTCGAAACCAGAGCTCGAACATCCCCTACTTAAAGGATCATGGGACTTAGTAACTAGGGTTATAAATAAGGTAACTATACTTATAAATACTTATAACCCCAATTAGGGGACTTATAACCTTACCTACTAAGTCCCCCGACCCTCCAAGTAGGGCTCCAGTGACCTATAGATAGTGAACCCCAGAAAGTTGGAACATGGATTTAGGATGATTAGTGCTGGGATCCCCTATACTTTACTCTTGAGGCCATGAGGATATTGATGTCCCAACTTTCTGGCTTCTAATGTAGTAGGTTACTGGGATATATAATATGGGAGGTTCCCCAAATAGGGGACCCCAATATAATACCCTAAATGCTAGGATCCTTATGATAGGGACCCCAAAATGAGGTACCCGTAATTTTCGGAAGCTCCCATATATGATTAGTAACCTACTACTGTAAAGTAGGGGCCTTCATAATTAGAACAAGGTTCCTTTAAGGGGATTCTATAGCAGGGTTCTACATTAGGGGCTTTTATAATTAGGTGCTATCTTCGTAACTGGAGTCCTTTGGGATCTGGTGGGAAACAACTCGGAAGCCTTCGCAGAGGGACGCGAGCAGTACGATGCGAAATCCTAAACTAGGTTGGCCCTTTAAAGCCTCTGAAAAATATTTGTAAACAGGGTCCTATTAAGCCCATGGATTTGGGGATTTACCCTGAGGATCCTGGACCCTCGTAGTGAGATCCCGGACCCTAGCCCCCAAAGCCGAAACCCTCCCCCAGAAAGCCCAAGACCCTCTTTGGAGCCTTAAGGTACGATGCGAAATCCCTAAAAGACCCGAGGGACAATCCAGGATTCAAGAACATTGTCGGACTCTAGATCGCGATGAAACCACTGAGACCAGGTTCGTAAAACTGATGATGGACAAAGATCTCACTGAAGAACCCTAGCAACAATTATAATGCTAGCTGTTTCTTAGGGATCAAAATTCAAAGATGTTTCTAAGCACCCCTAAGCTTTGGCTCATGCGGGTTCGCAAGAAGTTTAAAGGGTGCAAAGTGCAGAGCTGAGACGCTGCATTGAAAGTGATCACGTCCGCCGGAACACTGGCCTTATCCCACTTGGAGGGTCATGGGTAGTTATGATTAGGGTTATATGTCCCCTAATATGGGCTTTAACTATGGTTATCCTACTTACTTATCTGGCCTTGGACATGTCTCGAAACAACTCCAGCACCTGCTGCCAATCTCCGCTGCCTGCGGCTTAGGGCTTTGTGGGGTTTACGAGGTTCGTTAGTTAATGTCGTAGGTTCCGGGTTCATAGAGCTTTATTGGACAATAGAGTCTTCAATAGACAGACCGTTAAAAAGGTGCCCTGATGGAGCTGTCAATCTGTACATGTCCCCTGGAAAGGACAGGCCTGCGCAGGCATCGATCGTGGCATTGTAACTGATAACGTCTGGAAGGACACTTGCCGAAGGCATCTGCGTGAGAATCTCTAAGGCCAAGTGGTGCTGTGATCCTCGCTCCAGGGCGCTGATGGCAGAGTTGTAGCCTTGCTTGTCCACTTTATAACAAGACGATGCAAGACGCAGGCTTATACAGGGAGAGTACTTAGACTTAGAACTGTCAACAAGTCCTGATACTTAATCGAGTGCAAGCAGCTTATAACATCTGGCAGAACACCAGCTTCCGGCATCTGAAGCAGAACCTGAAGAGCCTTTTCCCAGCTACCCGATCTTTCGCAGGCACTGATGGTGGCATTGAAACCCACCACATCGGCAAGCCTAGCCGCTTGCAGGCGGGACAACAGCTCCAGCGCCTGCTCCCATTGTCCTCCTTTCCCACAGGAGCTGATGGTGGAATTATAGCTGATCCTTGGTTTCTGAGTAGCCCCTTTATAATAAGGCTACCCTTTTTCCTGCTGTTTGGTTTTAATAAGGGAACCCTAAACCAAAAAGGGCAAAAGGGTGCCACTCAAGAACCTAGGATCGCATTGGGTGTCAGATGAGCCTGGCCCATGCCTGCAAGCAACTGAGTAGCCATTTCCCAGCACTCGCCCGAGTCACATGCGTTGATAGCCGAGCCGATGCTTATCACGTCCTTGGTCTTAACTTAAGGCTGAGGCTTTAGGGCTTGGGGTTCAGGTTTAAGAATCGTTAAAACCATGACACCACCGGAGAAATCAAGAAGTCTCCCAGATTGCGAGCGAGCATCCATACCCAGGCGCACACTAGGCATCTGATGTAGAAGTAGCAGAGCCTTTTGCCACTCCGCACCCACCTCGAAGGCACTGAGGCCCGCGTTGAAGCTAACGACATTGGCACGAACCTGACAGCTTCTTCGAGCAAACTGAAGGAAGCTACACCTGCCTAGCACGCATAGATACGCTCAAGCCGGAAACCCGACATCCCCAAACCACAGTCTACCCCTTGGCCCCATACTAGCTCATTTTTGGGATTACCTTAAAGGATTCTAAATATGAACCCCCAAAAAAGGAACTACTATGGGGCCTATGGGTAGGTAGTCTAGCGGGAGTCAAGAGAGGCACCCTAGGCCCTATGTTAAGCAGCAGAGTGGCCACCATGATCAGATTCGATTGGGATTTGGGTTTAGGTTTAAGGGATTAGGGTTTAGGATTTCTACACCTCAAACCCTGAACCGTTCAGGGCACAAGCAACGTTGGCCATGGGAAATGTCACCAGAACGTGATGGGCTGCCCACCACTTCTCTGCTCTGTCGTAGGCGGTGATCGCAGAACTGTAGCTAACGACGTTAGGTTCAAGTCCACCGGTTGACCTGGGGCTTGCAGGGATTCTCATCTCTACTCCCCTTGGAACCGAACCATAATATAAATACGATCTTTAGTGTTATCTTGGGTTTTTTGTAAAGAAGACGATAGAGGGACTATCATGACTGGGGATCCGAAATAACTAGTCTTCCTATAAGTACGTATCTGGGAGGAGTAAGTGGTTGCTGTATTGATAGCAGACTGGGGCGTGGTGGCTTTAACACAGCTTTCGTATAGAGGGATTTACTGGGGGACAGTCAACACAAAGGGAAGCCAAGCTTGCAGTCGAGATCGAGAGGACACTTTTTCATTCGCCAAGACGGTTCTGAGGCACACGTGCAGACTGCTACCGGCAACAAATCATTCAAGCAGGCTGACTGCTTCTTATTTTCAACGACAATCAGGCACGACCAGATGTGCAGCCTGCTTGGATGATTCATTCAAGCAAACTGCGCCTTTGAGCACGCATGGAGGGGGCATATTGGATCCCAATAGGCACCCTCCATGCCTGCTCAAAGTTGACACTGATTTACGAAGCACACATCAATCAGGCACTGGCAGCGACAGCTGAGACATCGTCACACTAAGCTGACGAGATTGTGAAACAATGACTCTATCAAGATCGACATACCCTCAGTCATGTGCAGCCTGCTTGGATGATTCATTCAAGCAAACTGCACCTGACGAGAACTCAATTAATAAATGATGAAGCACAAATCAATCAGGCACCAGGCAAGGCCCGTACTGGCCGCCCGAAGTGGCAGCTCAGACATCGTCACACCAAGCAACCTGGATGAGCAGGAAGTCAATGAATCAATGCCCTTCTATTCTACACAGCGGGCCTTCTCAATGTGTGGCAAGTCAAGTCCAGAGTCCAGGAGCTCAGACCTGGCGACATAACATAGGCTCAAGGCCAAAACAAAGAACTCTCTAACCGAGGCTAGGCACTGACAGGCACACACACTTTCCACTGCTAGCTGCTGTTGAAGGCAGGTCGAGTTGTGCACTCTGTTAGCATCAGCAGTCCCGACTTGTGGGCAGTAGCGGTCAAATAAAGACTTAGTCATTATATGAGCAAGCACTGTTTCATTCCCACATAGACACACTGCTGCCGATAAACTGAATTAGGACAGCACGGCACCGCAGGCAAATTCAGGCTCCTCGAATCGACACAGGAGTGGAAATATGTACATACATATATATATATATATATACATATAAATTAAATACATATGTAACTAGCATAGAGTCACATGGCCCAGGCCCATGCTTACCTCAGTGCTCAGTAAGCACTGAGATAAATATGTTCACTGCCGCACTGCCGGCTGCTGACTGGGTTGCATTCTGATTCTGTGCAACCACTTTGTCACTTCCTACTCGTATACAAATTACTTGCGCAAACACGGTGAAAACACACTGTGTTTGTAAAAAGCCTCGGCCTCGGTCCGGCTCCGAAGTCATTCCGCCACTCAGTCACTAAGTCGCTGAGTCACTATCTCACGGTGACGATCTTCCTCAAGATCTTGAGCTCGAGCAACCTGCTTCTTTTCGCCAACTCGGTGTGCACCTCGTTGTTGAGAGACTCTTCGATCCAATACATGCGGAACTCTAGGTAGTCGCCCAGGCAGTCTTCCCTTGGATGACAGCTAGCTGGACTTTGGTCATTAATATTTATTACAGTCACAGGGCTTTGGGACGAATCGCAGTAAGCAAAAGAATTTCTGATTTAGTATATTGAGGTGCACACACTGGTCGTAGTACAATCTCAGCCACATCTGCAGGACATAGTTGGCTTGTCGCTCCGACAGCAATTTCGCAAGCTTTCGAAAGACCTTCTGGGAGTCCGGGTCCATTGGCATTGGCATGGCTTAGGCACTTTTGCCAGTCAGAGTTTTTCACAGACACAAAGTTTGTGTCGGCCAGTGACTAGGCTTTTGCGAGTGCGAGCCACAACGCCCACTTACAACGAACGGTCCTCCCAGATCCGAACTCTAAGTCACAAGTCAAGTGCACAGCTTTCTTGAACGCAAGAGACTGCAAGACACCAACACGGAATTGAAAGATGTCCAGGCCAAACTGTACTAAAGCCTCAAGCCCTTGTAAAGCCTCGCCTGCCGCACTACAAGCTCTCGGCGTACGGCGTAGGTCAGTTCTCAGACGAACTCTTCACAACAATTCCTTTATTTCCTGAAGTCGCTGTCGCAAGTAAGTAAGGGCAAATATTGGACTGCACAGATATTTTTATTCACGTCACAGGACTCAGAATCAGAATGGCACGATTCCACGACTGAAGCTAGGCACGACGACTCCCGAGGAACTGAGGCAAACATTCGCCATTAGTATGCACATTGGCAAGAGATTCCACACCTAGCACGAAGCACATGCAGTGTACTAGACACCGGAACCTATTACCATGAACAACCACCTGGCAGCAAACACTCTGCTAGCAGCGCATGCAAAGCCACACAGTCACAGGCCTCCTTTCCTCCAGACTCAGTTTTCAGCACGTACAGGCACTAAGACCTTGCAGCAGGCAGATTCAGGATAACTCGAATCACACGTCACGTGTTACAGTTCAACCAGCGGCGGATTGATTATTCTTGGCTGCCGGCTAATCAAAATATTGAATGTGCATGATTTTCCAGACCCAGCATGCAGCAAATGCGCTGTACCGCACCTTTTGCTGTGTAAAGACAAGCTCACGGACCAGCCTCTTGCAAGATGTTGACACTCTGAGACCTGGGCCACTGGGGGCAAGCAGGCGCGGCATGAGCGACACACAGTTTATGAGACACGATGTCAGAATCTGGGAACGCACGCACATTTTGGTCGCACGGCCAACAACTACACATCAGAGTTAAACTCGTCCGCCATATTAGCACCACAGCGACTACTACGGAGCCGTGTGGTCCAGTCGATTCGTGTACAATGACAGCAACGGAACTCAGTGTGACCAGACATGGCCACTATTGCTACTACTGAGCCATGTGGTCCAGTCGATTCGTGTACAATGGCACAGCAACAGAAAGTCACTGTGACCAGACATGGACTGCTTGAACATGGCTTCACGGAAGCTGTAGCATCGCAAAGGGACACATGCACACACACACACGTGCACTTGCACAGACTGAACCATGCACAAGTGATGTCCTATTTAAAATCAGACAAACTCTCAAAGGCCCTTTGAACGCGCTGTGAAACAAAATTGCTGCAGTCACTGAATCACTGCTGAAAGTTCCTCTCCTCGATGAGAACCCAGCCCTCAGGCACGCTTGTCGGCAATGCACTCGGTGAGCTCAGTGTGATGACACCAACGAAAGACACTTTGCGGATGCCGTCAGTGAAGTGGCCATGACAGTCACTGTCCTGCCGCAAACAAATCTCGTGTCTCCGCACGCCGACGTCAGAGCAACAAGCGAAGTCACGAAGCAAGATGTCACGGCCATCGGCAGCCAGGCACCACGTACCCTGCATACCGTAAGCCACGCGACCGGTACCTTGGATGCAAGTGAGCATAGTTGCAAGCAAACGCTGGAAGATCAGACAGGAAACACACCGAAACATCAGCAGTCAGCATGCTCTAACTTCTTACACTACACTCAAAAATCAAACTAAATCCCGGCGCAGCCACGAGTTCGGCGCTTGAAGCCCGTTCGCCAGTTATCGAACAGGAACAAGGTTTCTTGTCGAGCGCCATGACGCCATTCATACACGCCGGCACGAGTTGCTACCGCCATGTCTTCAGAACAGAACAGGCACTGAAACAGTCACAGCTTCGGTCAAATATCGGAGGTGTCCAAATCATGTGTGAGTCGATCAATCAATCAATGGACAGCACCTCACTCACAGTTGGAAGATTGCGACGAATGCACACACAAACACAGCACATGCTGGGTCGGTGACCGGTCGACTCGCAGGCTTGGACTCCTTCCCACACCATGCCATGAGCCTCGGACACATCTTAATTAATGTAATGGGAACGACATGAACACAGGCAAAAAAAGTCTACTTCAGTCACTCAAAGGAAGGTTGCCGGTGTCAGCCTGCACAATTATCGCTCGCAGCTGCTGCTCCCTTTTCAAGGAAATCTGGGTATATGTCATCTATCAACGAGACAAGAAAGAGAAATATCTTGCAGCCTTCGCCGATTATATTATAATGGAATTCGCCCGACCTGACAGGCAGACTCTTGCCATGTCCCGTCCGTGGCACATTCAAGCATCATCATGATGCTGACTTTCACAAAGGAAACACTTCAACTTCAATGATAACACCCGGAAGTAGTAGTAGCTTAACTGGAAATGGATATGTGTCGTTTGATGCTGAGACTCTCGCCATTCCATGTGACAGCATCGCCGTGGTTGGCTCGTCTACAAGACACCTGTTCGGCCCCGACTCAGTGGCACACGCTCAGTCGTTGGGAACCCTGAGCTGAGGCACTCACCGATCGAGTTACCAGCACCAAGGTAAACCTGATCAGGATAAACTTTCGCTTGGACAAGTGATGCGTAAATACTGAAATCAGCATTGCAGTGACTTGATTCCCCGAAGCATTTCTTTCTTGCGAGGGCATCGGTCTCAACGGTGCACTGTGTGTCAGGGACATCTGAGAAGATTGGACTGGACTGGACTGCTGAGCATATTATACAATGATTCTTGAGGCACTGTACAATCACTTAGACACAACATTCCTCAGACCAGCAGTGCTTAGATTAGATCATCAGTCAGCCACAAGTCAATCCTCTTTGAAGACCCAATCCCTAGTGCAGCGGTCTCAACGGTGCGCTGCATGACAGCGACATCATCTGAGAAGATTGGACTGGCTGGACTGCTGAGCATATTATGAACCAAGACAGTGATTCTTCAGGCACTGTACAATCACTTAGCCACAACATTCCTCAGACCAGCGGTGCTTAGAACATCAGTATCAGTTAGCCACAATTCAATCTCCTTTGATGTCCCAGTCCCTTTCCTGCTGCCACTTCTTGCCAGCGTCAGTGTCCATGTACCTGACTGAAATTAGTAATTAAC